CCAAAAATCTTGTGATCACTACAAACCACTACAAAATCAATTTTCCCAAGCAAAACTACGTTTCTAATGATCCTAAATTGAAATTTTTCACTTTTGTAAAACATTATTGCGATCGCTCTAGAGTTGCAAAATACACGAAATTCAATTCTAGTTTGTCCAGAAGCACTTAAAAACATAAACAATTTTTCTTTTAAAAAATGTCTTTCTTCACCCTTTTTTTCACCTTTTTGTGTCCCCCCCCCCCCCTGCTAATAAATCCCAGGAATAGTTGACTGTATAGTAGTAAGTTTCAGGTTCCCTTTCTGGAATTCTACAACAAGAGGCGCGCATTGTCCCACACGATAAATGTAGAGAGCCCCCCACACACCCCCCCCTCCCACCTTCGCCACGTTTCCCTCAAGTATACTACGTTCTCGTGAATTACCTACCCTCCAGACTTTTACATTACACACTGACCGTGTTGTTCCCAAACAAAACTACGTTTCTAATGATCTTAAATTGAAATTTCTAACTTTTGTAAAATACTATAGCTATCCTTCTAGAGTTACAAAATGTATGAAATCCAATTCTAGTTTTTATCTGGAAGCTCTTAAAAAAAAGAACAACAAAAACAGCAATTAAAAAAAGATAAAAAGATGTCTTTCTTCACATTTTCTTCGTCTTTCTTTTTGTGTCCCCCCCCCCCCCCCTGGTAAATCTCAGGAATAGTCGACTGCTAGTAGTAAGTTTCAGGTTCCCTTTGTGGAATTCTACAACAAGAGGCGAGCATTGTCCCACACGATAAATGCAGAGAGCCCCCCCCTCCCCAACCTCTCCCTCAAGTATACGTTCGTGGGTGGTTGGCGGGTGCTCTGGTGAGGTTTGCTGCTTCTTCTTTCCTATCAGACATCTATCGTCCTTATCTTCCCTTCTTTTTTATGTTTGTTACTCTCTTGTAACACCTCTAATCTTCTAGCGCTCATATGACCTTATGCAGTTGCGAGCGCCGTAAAACCTCTACTAAAACTAAAACTAAAAGTGTACTACGTTCCCGTGCATTATACACTCCAGCAGACTCTTACATTACACACTACTGACCGTCTCGCAAATTGTATGTCCGAGCTCTCAAAAGGCCGCGTCAGATCCCCCTTCCTTCCACCTCCCCCTCCCCCT